TCCTCTGCAGCACTGAGAGGCTGAGGCGGCGCCGCACCGGTGGTTTGAGTTCCTTTGCAAACTGGTCCGGGTTGAGAACTATATCAGAAACATTCAGGGAAAGGGTGATTAGGTAAAAAATATGAATAATAAGCACCATAGAACGAAGTGCCATCCTCTGACCATCTTATGAACTTGTCGGTCGCTGGATCATCCACCATACTGTGTCCACATACAAAGCCGTTAGCGCTGACATCAACGCCTTCTTCGAATCAATGGATGAGCGCGGAAGATGAAAAGGCGCGATTGCGCTATTTGGAGGCCAAGCGAGCGGTAGATAAACACACAGCGTTACAAGACGAACAATTCGCTTCGACCTCATCAGGAGGTGACTACGGAGGAGCGAGTTATGGTTCTTCAAGCTCTTACTTCGCAGGAAATCAATCGTCGAGCCAAAGCTATGCCTCTCCGCCGGTCACTGGAACCTCGACCTCAGACTATGCTCCTTCCAGCGTGCCCCCCAGAAGCGATGCCCTTTCTCCAAGTGCTTTCAGTTCATCTCACGTTGGCCAATCATCAATTAGCATGGCAACCACACCTACCCCTCCTCCCCCATCCGACCTACCAGCGTTCGAGCCATCGTTCGGCTATACCCATGCTACTGATCTGCCAGAGAAAGAGAAGATGAGATTGGCATACGAAGCTCGCGACGTTTCTGTGTCCCCCCAAGCTCCTCCTGACTATGCCGTGCCCCCTCCTGGGCCCTATCCAGGTGAACCTCCTCAATTTGGAACTCAAACCACCGGTGCGGCGCCGCCTCAGCCTCTCAGTGCTGCAGAGGAAAAAGCTAGGCTCCGAGCTCAGTATGCGTTAGAACAGGTTTCCGCATCGCAAAATGCTGGAGCGTCATCCTCCGCCTACAACCCACCACCCTCCTTTGAACCCGCGCTGTCAGCTGATGGCACTCGAACATTAACTGCTGCGGAGGAAAAGGCTCGACTCCAAGCTTTGCAGGCTGCAGATAAGCCAGTGAGCGCCACACCCCCTCTTCCTCCACCGCGCATCAAATCACCTCCGCTCTCTGGCCCACCGTCGGCCGTTTCTGAGGTTAATAGGGGTCCTCCCTTATCTTATACGCCGTCAATATCAGCATCAATGACCAGTGATGACTATCTCCAGAGAGACCCCTCTATCACTCAAGGAAAACAGCGGGCTGTTACTCCCAGCACTGAGACTATGCCAGGGGGATCCCCACCTCCATTAGCACCGCGACCGCCAAAAGAATACATCCAACAAACCAAAGATCAGGATGCAAGAGTTCGGCGCATGACCCAAGAAGCCATGAACATTGGGTTCTCAATGCCTGATGGAGGTAATAACAGGGATTCGGTACCATGGCAAATGTCTGGTAGTCCCAGGGCTGAATTTGACGGAAACTTTTCTTTAGGATTGCGTCCATTCTCTCCAATTGACCTCTCAATCGATAACAGCC